GTTTCATCAGAGAAATCTAGATAAACAAAGAACAATAAATATTAAATATTCAGGGGAAAAAAAAGGAAAAACCTGTATCGTCTCTGATATCTGTCAGGGTATTGTTGAAAGTGTCATCTTTTTGCTCGAAATTTTCAGGTTGATCAAAAAGATGACATTTACAACAATACTTTGCCGTAACTTTGACAAATATCAGAGAGTACAGGTTTTTCCTCTCTTTTCCTCTGGGATGCTTTATATCTGTTGTTCTATGTTTATCTAGATTTGTCAGGGCATAATGCCGAACACGACTTGTATGTTTAAAATAATCGTCCAGTTGGCTTAAAAATGATGATATGATCGATGACATTTCCCATATAATTTTACTTTCAAAATTATGATATATATCTTCATTTCTAAGCCATATATGACGCCGTTTTTTCAGTTTTGTTATAAATAATTTTGTCTCTTGATCTGTACACTGATAAAAAAGATAGACTTGAACTAAAGTCGTCATAGTTCTTGAAAAAAAAATTAGTGGTAAGAGAATTTATTTCAGCGTAAAAGAAAATATGTTCCCTGAAGAAAAACTCTCTTAACTCAAGAAAACTGGTTCTCTTGAAAAATTCGAAAATTTCTCTTGAATCTATTTTCATTCAATCAAGTGCAAGTTACTTTGTTTTAAGATAATAACAAAAATACGCTAAGAAGTACTTCATTCAAGAAACATGGCCATTTTTCCAATAGCTAAATACTCTTTTGATGAAAAATAATAACGACACCCAAAGGCCATGACGAAGGATGGTATATACAATCAGCCGGCAGTCCGATCAGTCTCACGTCGCATTTGATAGGTCGCACATCATATTACGTACGGGTTTTGTTGCTTGGAATTTTCCACTTGGAATTTTGCATAATTTGATTTTTAAACACATATCATATAACAAATTAGTGATCGTTATTAACATGTATTTGTCATTTTTTATGGACAAATTTTAGGATATATGGATTCTTTAAATGAGTTTCTGAAAAAATGGAAATTAGAGCATTTATTTGCTTTATTTGAAGGTAATAGACATTTACCTAATGCACCTGTTTAAATAATGCATGCCTGACTATAGATGGAATAAGAATATAGGTATCCATTTTTTAATGCAAATAATTACAAACATTTTCGAATTTCAAGTCGTCGTATTAAAAAATTCAAAGCTTATAATTTTAATAATTTGTTTGCTTTACTTTGATTATTCGTGATGTAACATTTTTTTGTAATTTGTAGAGTGATGAACCACCCCAAAAAATACCAAGGAGTGAAGAAGCAGAAATAACTATGTACTATCGAGGAAAATAATATCACTTTACTTACTACAGACAAGGAAAACCTAAATTTATCAGAAAATAAAATACCTCGTAATATGCCTTTTTTTAGATTTAAGAGGTGAAGGGGAAAACCTGCACCAGGTACTCGCCTGGTAAAACCTCCTATGTGCCAGACGAGTTATGTGGGATTTTTATCTCACTAAAACCTAACCTACACCTCTGTCCTCTCTCCAGGAACGTTCTTTCTCCGGCGGCACTCTTTGTAAATACTAAGAATAACTGGCACATAGGAGGTTTTACCAGGCGGAGTACCTGTTGCAGGTTTCACCACCATAAATCTAAAAAAAAAAAAAAAGGGCAGCATATTACGAGGTATATTATTTTCTCTGATAAATTTAGGTTTTCCTAGTCTGTAGTAGGAAATTTATTAGAAAATAATACACCTCGTAATATGCCTGTATGCCTGTATATGATGTATAGACTTCTCTTAGTTCAAAATAAATTTTAGTTGAGTTAATGGTATTCGCTATTGGTTTAAGAAAAGTGTCTCTTTGATCAAGAAATGCCCCTTTTCAATCAAGAATTTTTGCATGAATCAAAGAGACTATTGTTCTTCTAGCAAGAACTTCTTTGCATATTAATTTTGGGTCAAGAGTGAAATACTTTGGACAGATAGATTCTTCTATTCTCTAAAGTAATTTTTTAAAGCTTAAGAAAAGAGAGTTAATGCTTTGGGCAAAGAAACGCCGTTCTTGGCCCTATTGAAAAGCGCCAATCTTTTGGGTCAAAGTCATATTCATTCCGACTGAGAGATCCTTTTTTTCAGTGTACTTGTAACATTATTCTTTTATTTTTATTAATTTATTGTGGAGAAATTAATTTCTGTTGTATATTTGATATTGATATTAAATATATTTTTAAAAAATTGTGTATTTTTTGTGTTTTTATGTATGTCATAATTAAAAATAACTAAAAAATTAAACATTTTTATTTTTTTAAACTTCCCGCCATACGTGATAATTTAGTCCGTAGTTCCGACAAGCGATATTGGGTAGTAGCAGTAGGCTTGTCAACAGTGTCAAATTTAAACGTCAATTTCACTTTCCAATATGTAACAGGGCTCTTGCACTTCTTCTGTATATGTGTTTTGTGATCACCACTGTATCTCCACGGTACAGTTATCCACTGCGCTGTAAACGACTATTAAGGCAGGCGGCCACTGCGAGCGAAACTAAACTAAGCGAAGATAAGATTTGTAAAAATCAGCTTCCATACTTTTTAATGCGTCAGCGGCTACTTGAGCGAAACAAACCGAAAATATATGAACGAAGATTCGAATCGTAGTTTAGTTTCGCTCGTTTTAGTTCGTGACAGGTTCCAGCGATTTTTTCGCAGAGATAAAATACGAAAACTTAGCTGACTACTGAGCGAAAATCGTTCCCAGTGGAGTTCCCATTTAGTTACCGTTTGTTTTCATATTCTTAACTTAGCTTAGTTACGCTCGCAGTGGCCCTGCCTTTTATGTGCAGCGGCGCAGAACTAAACTAAATCTCGGACAGGCTGACGGTAACGCCAGCTACATCTCGGACAGGTTTTGTACCACGAAATCGCCCATAAGGTTGTGCATCTTATTTCTTCAACCAACGCTAAAAACACAGAATTCTTAAGAATAACTGAATCCGCCACAGAGACTTGACATTATTAAGAGTTCGGATCTTCTTCTATAGTGGCGAAAGGTTCAGAATCCTTTTAAAAATCATAAATTATATTATTTAAATAATATCATATATTATCATAACTGTAAAATCGCTATTTTTGGGGCTTACTCAACCGGATCTCACAATGCAAATTCACCTCAAATATCCCTTTAGTTGGTCATTGGCAAGCACTCTCTCATTGTACATGAAAATAACAAAACAAACATTTACTGATCTGGATAAAATTGATAGTTAAATAGTAAGACTAACTCCGGAGTACTCCGCCCCCCAGCCACTGACATCACTGACATTCTATTCAACATATCCCATTCCATATCTTCCATCTAATTCAAATATTATTGGATCTATTGGTTAATAATCTTCAACAACTAGCTAGTGCCACCTGAAATAGTATAGGGGCTTCCCCGGACGCAAATCTGCTGCTCAACAGATTCGCATCCCAATCGATGAGGTTAATTGGGGGTCCTCACGCTGTGAGGCCCATTACCGTGTCAATCGAGAAGCAAGAGACCTCAAACTCTCAAGACCATCCTCGAAGGAACGATGTCACAAGGTTTTTCTTCCTAGTCAAAAGACTCGTTACTTCCAAATGTCAGCTCTGTGACAAAACACAACACTACAGCCGGCCGGCCTATCAACTACTGACTCGCCGCCGGCAAGCTAAGCCTCCTCTTACATCACAATTTTACCTGATCACAAATATTTACATCGCTTGCCAATGAATCATACTATTTTCTCTAATCGACTTTCAAATAGAGTGTTTTAGAATTACTAGATAAATAAATAGAGAGTTTCCGAAGAAATGCATATTGTTTATTAAAATAGTGAATTAATAAAAGCATTATCATGACGAACTTATTTTCCAAGTTTTACATAACACAATCTCAATCTAAAATACGATGTTAACTTGCACAAGAATGGTATCTATCGAATTAGATAAAAAAAAATTACTTTAAATTTCAGTATTCATAGTTCTTTATCAACTATTAATATACAATTCAGTATTAATCAAGATAAAATATATTTGAAACCAACTGTTACATAAGTACGAATAATATTAATGGCTCTAATTATGTACTGGACATTTAACACTAATGTGAACGTTGTACTCAATTACTAATGGGAAATTTGTGCCACTTTACGTCATAGTAAAAAGTGAGAAAGTATCCACTTAAAAGTGCTTTAAAATAGAAAACTTGCTCACTATAAATTGAAATTAAGCTCTTAAAGGCGGTGCTCGTGTTGTAACGTCTCCTCCCGACTCTTTTAGACCTGTTGCTTGACGGTAATTCGGACAATATTTTCCTATTTTCCTCCCATGTAGATATCTTTTATTATTTAAGAATCAATTTCCTTCAAAAGTTATACATGGCATTTTGAATACATATTAAAATAGAAAAATATTATAATAAGGAGTAGATATATTAATATTGTATTGATGTAAGACAAAAAAGTGAAACATATTTTAAAGTAATTGGATAGATAATATACAAAATATTTATTAAAAATAATACGTTTAATATGTAGCAAAGTCGAGTATGTCACGTTGACAATTATTAAATTGGGTGTCGACGTCGACTTTCTAATTGACTGATTTCACTAATTTCGAGGTGAAGCTTTATTTAGAGCTTCAAAGTTAGTGGAATAAATTAGTGTTTTAAATTACACTTTATACTTAAAGAGTGGCAGTCATTTAAATGTCTAAAAAATACAATAATTCAATCATTTGATCACATACGTCAACACCACCAATTTTCTGGTTGTACATACCAACAACATTGGACACGGGACTTCCACATGTTTTTTCTCACTCTTTTCCCATCTGCTAACTACTCCTTGTGGCTCAGATCCACAGGCTGTAGATATCATGAGAACAGATTTATTGTCCATCCATTTTGTCACGCTAACTTTTCCATCGTTTCTAACTAATTCCTGTGAGTTTCCTCTTTTAAATTGTTTGTCTTTCAGAAAATTACATTTCTTCTATCTATTTGGCATGATGGTTCCGGTGCCATAAATTTCCAAAGAAATCAGCCTGTCAAACAAAGATTCAGTCGAAAAGTATCGGTCAATAAAAAGATAACTCTCTTTTGGTAGTATATGAGATAGGTGCAGGATAACCGAGGCACCAAGACCCAGGTCTTTGTTTTGGAAAGGCGTCAGTTTACCTTGATAAATTTCAAAGTCAAGAATTTTTCCCTCAGATGTTGTGAGAACAACATTTTTAAGATCCACTGGTCTAGGTTTATTCCTCACATACTGTCTCACTGGACACCTTCCTAAGAATGGAATCATTTGTTCGTCAATTGAATACGAGGATTTAGGTTTCCTCTCCAGTGATCTGCAATGGTTTCGAATCATGTCTATTATGGGTTGAAGCTTCCATAGTCTATTCTCCTTTTGAATTTCACCTGGAACTCCCAGAACATCCACAGCGTGAAAATTAACTCTCAAAAGGTAAAACATATCACGCGGCATCACATCACTCACTAATTTAAATTTGAATTTACTGTTCCAATACATACGAATTCTAGGAAAGTGCAATAGACGCATCCCATGAAAAAAATTTTAATAATAAATAAACCAAAAAATTTTTTGATTTCAGTATCAGAAACTGCTAAAACTCTTCCGGTTTTCTGTAAATAGTATTGAACTGTACATTTGGCGCCCAATGAGTAAAAATCGGCCCCCAAATATTTTTGAAAATAGTGCCATGGACTCTGGGGACTGTTGGTACTATTAACTACCAATGGATCTTCTTTACTGGAAAATAAGCCCGGCTTCCACCCAGACTCAAGATACGCGAGAGGAACGTCGTCTTCGGAATCAGTCTCTTCTTCGTCGCTGGACTGTGTAGCCTGAGGAACAGCTATTTCCTCTTCCAAGACCTCGGTAACAGTTTCTTCTTCATGGGATTCCATCTCAACCTCCGAATCAATACTATCTAAGAGATCATACAAGGCATCTGGATCGTTTTCTAGTTTTTTTAAGTCGATTTTACCTGAAATAGCAATGAGTTGTGATAATACTCACAATTGTGAATATAAGGTTTCAATCCCCTCATGTACAATTGTGATATGCCAACAAAAACCTAACCTAGAACCGAATTGAAATCCAAAACCCACCCTACGATATATGGGATACTCCTCTCTGTTTAAGTCAGACATCATGAGTTAACTACATTGAATCAATTGGTTTTTTTATAAAATAAAGTACTCAAAACAATATTAATACAAAAAAAAAACGTAAATAAACAAATGGCAAAAACGCATATCCACTGATCAATCAGCTGAAATTCCCGTTGGCGCACAATTTGTACCTTCACGATTGTACGATACAGGAGCCGATTCAACCAGGCTTAATTTTCGCCTTTATGTAGCATGTAAATAAGGAGCTACAATTGTTACCACTGGGAGCGTAAGGGTTGTGCGAAAATGTTAATCTCAATGTTGTGTTGAAAATCATAATTGACCAGAGTTTAAAAATTGCAATAGAAAAAATACAAGGCCTCGCCCAATATTCAGTAGTATGGATACTTAAGCACCCACATTTTTATCCGTATAAATTCCAGATTGTACAGGAACAAATTGATGATAGAGATTACACAGTTTTCTGAGCGTATGATAGAGTCACTTGACAATGTTACCTAAAGAACATATTTTTTTCTGAAAATTCAACTTTCACGCTGAATGGTCAGGAAATCGACAGAACTGTCGTTATTGGAGAGACAAAAATTCACAATTGGTGATGGAGAACTATACTTACTGGCTAGAAAAAGTCGTAAACGTTTGGGCGGGCATTATTGGTGACAAAATGATAAGTTCATCAATGATAATCTAAATGGCCAGATACTTGCGGTTTTAGAAGAAGCTTATTCCAAATCTGGCAATTCCTCGATCCTCTTTTTAGAAAAATTTCTGTAGAAATATCTGCTTTCCATGAAATATTTTCTTATGCCAAAAATATGAAACAATACGTAATA